GTAGGTGACTATAACTTGCAAGATAGGATCAAGAACACTTATATATTCATGAAAATATAATAGGTTCAGATCTGAAATCATGGCACTCGGGCCCTAGTGACAAGCATTAAGCATGACAAAGTCCTAGCAACATCAATCTTAGAACATAATGGATACTAGGGATCAAACCCGAACAAAACTAACTCGATTACATGGTAAATCTCATCCAACCCATCATCGTCCAGCAAGCCTACGATGGGATTACGCACGCATGGTGGTGAGCATCATGAAATTGGTTATGGAGGATGGTTGATGATGATGATGGCAGCGGATTCCCCTCTCCGGAGCCCCGAATGGACTCCAGATCAGGCCTCCCGAGGAAGAACAGGGCTTGGCGGCGGCTCTGTATTGTAAAACATGATGAATCCTTCTCTCCTATTTTTTTCTCTCCGAACGTGAATATATGGAGTTGGAGTTGAGGTCGGTGGAGGTCCATGGGGCCCACGAGGTAGGAGGGCACGCCCAGGGGGTAGGGCGCACCTCCCACCCTCATGGCCAGGGTGTGGGCCCCCTTCAGTTGATTCTTTAGCCAATATTTTTTATTAATTTCAAAAAGTATCTCCGTGAAGTTTCAGGTCATTTCGAGAACTTTTATTTCTGCACAAAAATAACACCATGGCCATTCTGCTGAAAACAGCGTCAGTTCGGGTTAGTTCCATTCAGATCATGCAAATTAGAGTCCAAAACAAGGGCAAAAGAGTGATACGTTGGAGACTTATCATCTATCACGTCACCCACGGCCACAACCAACCGTTCCGCCAGCAATAACAACCTTCCATCCAAAATTGGCATACATTGGATGGTCGACTTCATCCAACATCAACAAGATTATTAACAAAAACATGCATAGAGGATATTAAATCCTAGTATGAAACGATCCACAACACACTGGGGGTCACCCATATCCCTGAGAACTAAGGGAACTACTCACTCATGAAGGCAACAAACATCATAACAATGGTGATGGAGAACATGAATGATTCACACATGTTACACAAGTTGTTCCCCTTAGGGTTCGTGAGAATACAATGAGTAAGGTGGGATGATGATGATGATAGTGGTGATCATGTTTAAGCCTTACTGGTGATAATGGTGGAGGCAGCGGCCTCCTTCATGCCAATTCCTCCCTTCGGATCGCTCCGGAGGCTAAGGTTCCTTCTTTTGGGTGAGTTTCTAATCTCTTTGTGCGTCTGATCCCTGATCCGATTCCACGGGGTGAAAATGATGGAAGAGTTGGCGTGATTGGCACTCCATACGACCGCTCATACAAGAAGTCGCGATCTCATTGTACGCCGTATTTTGATCTGGAGGCGGTGCATCGGCTCCTCCTTTGCTCCTCTAGATCCCCTTACTTATGGTAAATGATTATCACATTAAATATGTGATTTCACAACCATTTTTATGAGATTTCTTCCACAATGTAATTTTTGGTCCAACAAGTTTTAGCCGAGGAAAAACGACAAACATAAGTGTCCGAACGTGGTAAAATTTCACAAAGCCTACCGAGTAGGCACAAAAAGTAATAACAAAAAAATCTGATAATTTGGACTCATCAGCCATCGAACCCGTACAATTTCTTGGGGCAATCTCCACAACTTAATTGGAGACCCTGACACTTGCTCAGAGCATTACACCACAATGATTGAGCACCACACCACCACCAACCATCTAGGGTGCCCAAGCACCCAACAAGAGTCACAATCTCTAGAGTGCCAAAACACCCAAGAGTAATAAGCTTCTCAACTTTTGCTTCCACGTATCACCATGGAGAAGTCAAACAGATGCAATGGCAAGAACAGACGAGGTGCTCAAACCCCACACTATTAAATCCCACCAATGCAACGAAAGCTATGGAGGAATATGGGAGCAAGAACAAGGAGAACACAAAAGAACTCCAAGATCTAGATCCAAAGGGTTCGCCTCACTTAGAGGAGAGATGGATTGTTGGAAATGTGGATCTGGATCTAGAACAAGGAGAACACAAAAGAAATAATCATGGGAGGAATGGAGAGAAAGCAAAACTTTTTGGAGGTCAACAATGGAGGAGAAAGCCTGCCAAGAACCATTAGGGGCAATGGGGAAGAAGACCCCTTTATAGTGGGGGTTCAAATCCAACCGTTATGCACTGTGCTCGTGCTCAAGCGGAGTTCCAGTGCCACCCACTGTGTACTGCAGGGCACAAGCACTATAGTTCCACTGGAGCGGTACTACTGGCTACAGTGAGCTGTACTGTCACTGGATACAGAGGGACCAGCGGCAGTGGAGCGGCACGAGAGAGGAAGTACCGCGCAAAACGGTAGTACGATGTAACTACCGTCCAACTACTGCGAGAGAAAAATGGGCAACAAAAGCTTGCACACTCCTCGAACACAAGCGGAAGTAGCAACAGTAGTAATAGGCGGAATTACCGCACAAGCAAAACTACTGTGCCACTACCGCGAGCTAATAGAGAGTAGAGAGAAGGAATTTTCCAAGCGGTAGTAGCCGCGGTAGCTCATAGCGGAAGTATTGCCTAAGCGGTACTATCGTGGAGCCACGTGGTACTACTGCTTGGGCTCTGCCAAAGGCCCAAGCACAAATGAGGAAGGCAAGTAAGACCCAAACTTTCATAACTTCTGCAGACTCAAGCTTGTTTGATATTTGACAACAAGCACTATCCAACGGCGAAGATAAACCCAAATCAGTACATTTTAGGTTTTGCCTAATTCATTGATCAAAATTTTAAAAAATCCCTTGAAAATTTATTTATCAAAAATATCCATACCATATCTAAATGCTTTCTATACTTGGTTATTATTCAATATTTATGGCTAAGATATTCTCTAAACTAGGATGAAAATAAATTTACAATTATACTAATAATTATTATCAAAAGTTCATCAATTCTGCAAAATATAATCACATTAACCTGTGAACATTTTTTAGATAAATTACCATAACAATAATGAAATGAAACTTTTATAATTTGTAAACACACCGGTTGGTCACTACTAGCATATCATCATTAAAAGATTAGTCACCAGTTACTATGACAAGGCAAAAATATCTCCACCTTTAGAGTTTTATTGGTGCAATTTTACGTCGTACGTACGCATGACATGTAAATAAAGAGATTTTCACATTCGTGCCTTGTTCGATAGTTTTGCCCATAGTTTTAAACTATGCTCGGTTTTGCCCCAAAGCAATTGTGTTTGGTTATACAAAAACCCCTTATGTTTAATTTCCATCTTGTCAAAGACGTTTCACTGTGCGAGTATATGTCATGTTGTTTAGGGCAAAACTGAGCACCCTTTGAAAGTAGGGGCAAAATCGTATGGTGAGCATCGGGTAAGGGCAGAAATGTAAAAATCCATTAATAAATACCTTAATATTTGGTTCTCGTTTATGACCAAAAAGGGTATGCTTAGTGAAACCCAGTGGCGGAGACAGGACCCAGGCCGGGGCCTGGGCCCGGGGTGCCATGAAAATTTTCTTGCTTGACTGAAAGCATGATGTGCACTGTTTGACACTGTAGCTACACTGTAGCAAGCCTGGGGCCTGGGTCTTGGCCCAAACGTGGCTCCGCCCCTGGTGAAACCCACAAATGTGCACTGAACCTCTTTTGGCAGTGTGTAAGCCAACAGCCAAACACAACGAAGGCCAGCATATACAATACCAAAGTAAGTTGACATCTCCTTATCTTCATAAAATTGCTTTTTAGAAAATCTGCAAGCCACTACTAAGGTAAACGATATCCATCATTGTTTTATATTTCTTATTTATAGCTTTGATACACTCTAATTCAAGTCGCAAATAAAAAGCCACTACTAAAAATCATTAGGACTACGGATGTGATCACATTAATACAATATTTTCCAAGATATATGTTAATAAATGGTTTCTATATATTTTTATAATAGGATGACATTAGTGAACGATTTCAATATATATTTCATATTCCAGCAAACCACGGAACTAATACAAGACTTTTCAATATATACTAGTGAGATAAATGCTAATAAATGAGGACAATGAACGATTTCGGTGTATATCTCGTGTTCCAGCAAAGTACGCAATTGAAAGCTACTTTTCCATACGTTACCACCCAATACACTGAAAGTGTTTTGTCTCTGTGTACAACCGATAGTATATGCAGCCAACACCAATCGACGGTAGAGCACCGCTCCGCAGGCCAAAAAAGCTCACGTCGCGTGCTGCGCACCACCGCATCCCATCTCCCCAGGCACGGCATTGCTCACTGGCAGCCAATCTCCACCTACGCGTCCCTAGCCAGTCGTTCGTCCATTTCAAAATATATATTTATGACTGATTTCAATAGTATATTTCTCGTATTCTAGCAGAGCAAACAATTATAATACAAGATTTTCCAATGTATATGTTAATAAATGGTTTCTATATATTTCGTATAATAAGAAGACATTAATGAACGATTTTAATAAATTTCTCATATTCCAGCAAAGCACCTAACTAATACAAGATTTTTCTATATATAATAGCAATATACTAGATGCTAATAAATAAAGAAATTAATGAATGATTTCGATGTATATCTCGTAGTATTTCAGCAAAGCATGCAATTAAAAGCTGCTTTTGCATGTCTTACCAGTACACTTAACGTGTTTTGTCTTTGTGTAGAACTGATGGTAGACGCCGTCAACATCAACCGATGGTAGAGCACCGCTCCACAAGCGAAAGAGCTCGCGTCACGTGCTCTGCGCCACCGGGACCATCTCCCTAGGCACGGCATTGCTCACTGACAGCCCATCTCCACCTACGCGTCCCCGGCCCCTCGTCCACGTGTCCGTCAGCCCGAGTCCGTTTCTTCTCCCCGGAATCCCTGCCTTGACCCAGCCCCGCTTCGCTCGTGTGCTTCTGCTTTACCTCCCTCCCCAATCCCCATTGCTATGCCCAGAATCGAACCCTAGCCTGAGCTTGAGCACGAACCTGATCCCCTGTTCGCCATGGATCGCCCGCCACATCTCGACATCGACCTCAACGAGCCACCCCCGCCGTCGCCACCGCCGGCGGTTCACCAGCCGCCCCCGCACGAGTTCGCTGCCGCCATCCCCATTGTTGCTCCTCCTCCGCCGCCGCCGCCGCCACCCCAGCTCCCGCCTCCCGCCAACGTGCAGGCCCACCTGCTGCTGCCGCACCATGCCCGCGAGCTAGCGCTGGCGTACCACCGTGCGGAATCCTGGAGGTTAGCTGCTGCTACGGCCAGTGCGCCCGCGACCGCTGGTTCTTCGCTGGAGGTGCCGCCACCGCCGGTTCTCCAGTCGCCCGCTTTTGCTCCTCCGCCGCTGCGGCCGCCGGTTCTCCGGTCGCCCGCTTTTGCTCCTCCGCCGCTGCCGCCACCGGTTCTCCGGTCGCCCGCTTTTGCTCCTCCGCCGCTGCCGCCGCCGGTTCTCCAGTCGCCCCCTTTTGCTCCTCCGCTGCCGCCGCCACGGCCACCCCAGCTCCCGCCTCCCGCCAACGTGCAGACTCAGCTGCTGCTCACGCACCAAGCCGGCGAGATACCGCTGGCGTACCACCGTGGGGAACTGTGGTGGAGGTCGGCCATTGCGGCCGCGACGGCAGGTTCGTCGGCGGAGGGGCTACCTCCAGCGCCGGTGCAGCACCCGGGAGTACCGGGGTGGGGCGGGAACCCGTGCGCGTCCTGCGGCCTCCCCGAGCTGCCGGGGGCAACCGTCATCTGCGACGCCTGCGAACGTGGGTTCCACCAAGCCTGCATCGACGTCGTGCGGCAGCCTCCGCCGGCCATGGACGAAGACTGGATGTGCCCGGAGTGTGCGACAGGACCCGTGCCGCTCGACATCACCAGGCAGTTATGTCAGCTCCCTCTTGATCATTTGCTTATGGTTTTACATCTGTTTTTGTTCAGCGAATTTTATGCATAGTTCTAAGAAGTACGTACGTAGATTGTTGTTCTTGCCGTCTGGAATTACTTGACGGAGGGAAAGTACTTTTGATCAGAAGGTTATATCGATCGCTGATGTTTGGTTTGCTACTTGTTATGATTAGTTACACAGATGCACTTGCTTGACTGTTAATAACACAGCATATGAACCTGATCTTTGGATTTTTCTGCTTTGCTTGACTGTTAATAACCCTGTGACCTAAATGACTTGGTTTAGATTAAATGCTATAATTAGCATCTGGTAGTAGTGGCTTTCTAAAGCATTAGTAGTAAGAGTGCATAGTGTTCAGTAATTCGTGGTTTTTGCATGTTCAGTTATTTCATTAGTAGTAATTCGTGATTTACTACAAAGAACAGGTTATATGCATGAGATACTGCAGCAAAGTTGCTGCTGTCACCCTTTCACGGCAATGAGGGCATGCAAAATGATAATTCTATTTTGTTCTAGTTGTGGCACTAATTTGATTTATTGCACTGGGTTTTTCTTTTTGAGAAATTATTCCACTGGTATATATACTGGAGAAGTATATACTACGTTTTTTTTTTCAGGGATACATTTTTTTTTTGAGGGAGGTACTGAGGGATAAGTATATTACTACTGTACTATCCGTAGAAGCCCAAAGTTAACCAGGTTCCGCTGAATACCCAAGCCCAAAACAAGCCCATTTTAATGCTTTTTTTAGAACAGCCCATGTTTAATGTTTATTAGGTCAGCACCGTGAGTTGACTAGCCATCTCCAGTTCTCTTCTAAAAAAATCCAGTTCAGATCGTTCTGCGCCTTCTGCGGCCGCGGCGCCATGATAGCGAGTCGCGCCGCCGTTCCGGCCCGTGTAAATCTTCCTGCCGCGGTACCGATCGATGCGCCATGCCATCATCGAGTACACGAGCCCGGCGATCACTTGATTTATTCCTCCAGCAATCGAGCCTAAAGGTATACCGCGCAGTTATTTTTCTTCTAGATTGTATAACCAATAATTTAATTAACGGGCTGGCATACGACGCAAGACAATTGATCAATTTACAAATTAGATGTGTCTTTCTTGTTTTCCTTGATTTTGCTAAAGCACATCTAGATGTGTCCTAAGTGTTGCACATCTATAAGTCCTATGTCATTGATTTTTGCGGAGATTCATGTGGGTATTTTCTTTTTCCTTTTTAATTTTTGTTTATGTTTGGTTGAGTCATTTAGATGTGCAATAACTAGATAGGCCCCAAGAAAAAAAATATTAGAGGTGTCTTTTAGTTTTGGGAGATGAGAGATGATTTATGGCATTATTTGCTATAGCTACAAAGTTCACCCAGATGATATCAATATATACTGATTGATGAGTTTGATAGTGGTAGAGCTAAATTTAATCGAGTAGAAAATAAGAACTTTTGAGTTGAGACATCACCAGAGTTATCTCAGCCCCCTCTTAATAATCTCCTTATGATTTTAGATTTTATTTTGATTAGCGAATTTTATATATACTAGCTCTAAGAAGCATGTAGATTGTTGTAAACGCCAGTAATACTAATGGTGAGTCCAATCGAGAACGTGACATGATGTTTGGTTTGCTACTTCTTATGATTACACAGATGCACTGCTATCAACATAGCACATGAATCTGGTATGTTCTTTGGATTTTTCTGTTTTGCTTCACTGCTGAACACTGAGACCTAAATGGCTTGGTTTAAAATAAATGCTATAATTAGCAACTGGTAGCAGTGGCTTTCTAAAGCATTAGTGCGGCATGGTACGTGTTGCATCTTCTTTTAGTGGCTACTAAAATTAGGTATTACACTCTAGTCATTCGTGGTTGTTTACATGTTTCTCCCTGATTTACTACAAAGAACAGGGCATATGAGATATTGCAGCTAATTTAGTGTTGTCACCCTTTCACAGCAGAGAGGGCATGCGCAATGATAATTTTATTTTGTTCTAGTTGTGGTGCTAATTTGATTAGTGTTACTAGTTTATTGAAGTAGGACACCTGCATGTTTGGGTCTTGACAGGTACGTGCAGTTCAGCCCTAGGGAATTTTAAGATCACCATGACTTGCAATCTGTAGTAGACAAATTTATAGCTGTTCTTGTTTTCTTTCATTGTGAAGGTATCTTGTTGGTTTCTCTTGCATAGTTGCCTGACAGCTGTCTGGCATTTTCTTTATCCAAAATTCTAGTATGGAAATTTGAACTAGTTCTCTTTAATGTGAGTCATGAACTCTTTTGTGGGCTCTCATTCACACTGGCGGAGCTTAGTGTATGGCTCTAGGGGCCACCCCGCCAGGTTTGTGTACATTAGTGAAAAAAAATTATTTTGGGACAAGTTAGATTAGAAGAAATAGTGTGCTTGACCTTCCCAAAAGTTCATATTTTCTGTAAATAGTAAGTTCCAGTAAATTAATGAATCTTCCGGGTTTACAAGAGAAGATGATTCAGATTGGTGTCATTAATTGGAGAATGGATCACTAGTAGTAGAGTAGAAGGAAATGAAGCATCGGCGACGAAGGTGTCTGGCTGATGAGCTGCGGATGGAAATTAATCTGGAGGAAATGCTAGAAGGGGATTCAGAACAATGAGCTAGCTTTATTGATTGAGTAACGATAGTACAATGGACCACAACAACTGGAATGCCACCAACAAGAAGATCCACGATAAAATTGAAAGTTACATCAATGTCCTTTCGATATAATGTCTAATGTTTCTCCAATGTCTTCGGTGACGAAACAACAAAAGATCAAACCTGCACAAGCCAGGCCAACCTTATAGGTTTTGAACAGACACATGAGTTGCCTAGCTGAAGTGGTGAGAACCTAATATGACCAAAAATCCCTTGTAAGGAAGGCTACCAAATTGTTGCTCGGACGTACAACCAGTAGAGAAGGTGCAAAGCACAAATTAACGAGCATTGAGAATCACTAGCTCTATGACGTAGATCCTGATGGTCACACTAGGGCGAGGATGGAGTTGGGAGACCACCATGGGGCCATCACCACCAAACACAAGCCTAACAAAGAAGGCACCTAATTAAACTCCTAGCGAGATATTGATCCTTACTTCCTAAGGCTATATCGGTTGTCAAAGGCGAGGGAAATTGGCGGAGATTGAAATGGTGGACGATTCGTCCAATGGCTAGGGTTTCATCACGTCAATCTCATGTACAAGGGACATGTGGGCACAAGATGATGCATACAACTTCTATGAAAGGCCCGTCATGGAGAGAGATCAAGTATAGTGACTTGTGGTCGCATGCTTGTACCACCACTCTTCTTGACAAACCTTCCTCCACCATTACAGTGTTTTCTTCATCATCGTGTAAAGATTTTACTTGATAAGGAAACTCATGGTCGACGGTTGTTCCAACACCAGCACCACAATTGGTCTTCATCGCGGCGCCACCAGTGGCGCCGCCCATGAGGAAGAATGGTTTCGACATGTTTGTCAGGCCCGTGAATCAAGCTATAGTAGGAAGAATTGCCACCAATAGCATTAGTTAGTGTTGACACTACCAAATGTCAATGATGGCATAGGCTTACTGATGTATGGTAAGAGAAACAAAAGGAGGGTGGGCAGAGTGCTGACATGGTTGATGTATGAATACATTGTGTACCTCTAGCGCCACCTACCCATAGAACTAGTTCTTTTGTATTCACATAATCCAGAAATCTTGTACAAGATTGAATTGTGTCTACATTGTAGTTATGATTAGAATTTGTTGTGAGCCACAACACTGCGAATAGTATCCCTAACCTCCCACGAACTACAATGTATGGGACATCACACAAACATGTACCGCGTCTTTCTGCTAGCATCCGTGCCTAACCTCTATCGCCATGGCAATCTATTCTGGTGCCTCTTATGTATTTATCATCATGTCATTGGTCAAGATCAGTGGACACAACTCTTAATGTTAGCTTTCTTTCTTCAGATTCAATATTGTCAGCCTTGACCCCTCGACCTTGCTACGCATTCTTTAGCTAGATCTCTAAAGGATCTTTTAGTTTGGCAAGTCCATGGTTATTTGTTACTCCATCGAGTTCTTTTGTTTCTCGTCAACTTCATCCAGAGCCACACAAATCTTTTCAACTTTCTTGTCTCCTTTAGCCAGTAATTTCTTGATTTGTCACAACCCTTCCTTATTTGTCCAACTGCAATGAATCATTTCTATTTCTTTCTTCCCTATGGCCCATCCTAATTAGATCGAGCATGGCCCAATTCCAATATCTTCCCTCTCCTGTGACTTGTTCTCGCTGATGTAACATTGCCCTTTTGGAATTTATCTATGACCTTCTATGCAGTCTGCGACCATTGCCGCGACTCAAAAATTGTCATCACCATGTTTCTACTTGCGACTGCTATTGTTAGTTTTAACATTTTTCATTATTTTCCAATAACATGGGAACTCTTTCTGAAACCTTACTTGTAGATGGTCATTTGGTCCAAATCCTTATAACTGTTTCATTTGAGATGTTAACCGATCTTTCTTTGTGTTGTACAACCAACTACAAACATAGTTCTGATGTGTAATTAGAATCGTCGTTGTGTCTGAACATTAAAGAGCTATTAGGTACTTTCTGAAGGCTTAGAATAACAAATTCTCAAGGTTTAACACTAGTAATATTTGACCACCAGTGTCACATGTATTTTGTGAGTTTAGCCATCACACAATTCAGCGCATCTTCATAGAAGTCTGAGTGGGACCTTCTACACAATAGATCGATGGTGATTCTCGGAGAAGTATGCCATGGTATCCCGTTATGTAGCAAATGGCTTATGTGTAAATCCATATGCGATGATTTCGCCACAAAAATGGAGTTACCTTAGGCCATCTAGGGACATGAAGTAACCTCATATTGTGAGTCGGTGACCTACATCCCAAAGGACTCCCATATTGCAAGGTCTATGGGAATCCTTGG